TACTAACATTTAAATTTTTCACATCATAGTCAATGTATGTCAATAGTCTCATTATCCCCAAAAAAGGGGGCCTTTTCTTACAATGGAATACAATACATATATATTTATATACTCACTTTAAAAGTTCAATAAATTATTAACAAATTATTAAAAATACAAAACTTGTTATTAGCATTTTATTTTATATTTCAAATAAAAAATTATAAGTAGGTGAACATGAAACTGAAATATATATTGAATATTTATTAAATTTGTTTGTCTAATGACATTTAGCGTTTGCTTGATTATTAGTGATACTTTGTACTAAGTTATGTTTACGTTTAACCACTTTCTTTTATTTTATTCAAAGAGAATTTCTTCTGCAGTACGTCCTTTTCTGTAGGTGGTCTACCAGCACCAATCCGATGATTACCTTTATATGTTCCTCTTCTTCTAGCCCACAGATGTTGGTTGTACTCGGATATTTCTTCCTCGTGTAGAACTAATAATTTACCCAAACAATTACCTATTATACTATTTCATTTTTTCATAAAAAAACATTAATCTTACCTTGAAGAATTATTTATTATAAAATCTACAGCTTGAGATGTTGTATCAATGTTTTTAATTTTTTTTGTAAAAACTGATAAATGTCTTATTGATGTTTCAGATACATCTTGTTGTAGTAATTCACCAAGTCTATTAATTGAGTTAGTAAAATCTTCCCATTTCTCTGTGAATTTGTCATTTAATGACTGATTATTATTCAGAGGTATTGAAGGTCTAATATTTGGATCATTTTCAATATCACCATCTTGTAAATTATTTGAAAAATCTTTATAACATAACTGTAAGTTTGTTTTTTCTCTAGTTGTCTTCAAATTTTCTTTTTCCATAATGGAAGTTTGTGGTGTTGGCAACTCATTCAGATCCTATTAAGTAGTGTTTGAAAAAAATTAATATTTAAAATAAATTTAAAATATGTAATAAAGTACCTCATAAAATGGTTTTGGAGGGCAATCTCTGATTCCCAGAGTTAATAAGGCAAGTTTATGCCTTTCATTTGAATCAGTTACTGGGCTATTTGGAAATTCAATATCATAATATTGTTTTAATAAAGCTTGGTGTTTACAAAACCCTCCTTGTTTGCCACTGTAACAACTACACCACCCAATAATGGTATTTACATCATAAAACTTTTTGCTATCTTTAGAGCTTGGAACTTTGTATAAAAATTCATCAATCTGTAATATAGAATTCGGGTCAACTGATTTCATTTTTGTCAATTGTAATTCATAGTCTTTTTGATTCCTCCTATTGTAAGCAAAATCTAACAAACGATTAATAAAATATTTATCCCAAATTATTGAAATAAACTCAACCAATGCAACAACATTATATGCTTTAGTACGTTCTAAAATAATTTCTTTCAGAATTCTAATTGTTGCCTCTGAATAATTATTGGTTTGATTATTACGAGTTATAAGATTTTCATTTCTATAACTCATTGACCATTCCTGACTTCTTTTTAAATTTTCATTAAAGCGATCTTTGAATGATTGATTTCCTTCCAAATGATTAATTTCATTAACTACATCTTGAAAATCTTCATGGTTCTTAGCGTATACAGCCTAAAAATTGAATTCCTTAATATAAATATAAATCATAAATAATTATTAAATACTTTTCTAAAAAGTTGCATCAACTGTTGCCTGTTAACAGGTAATATATTACTACTAGAAGACATCAACCATCGCCATTCGGCTTGTAAAAAATGAAATATACAGAGAATCTGAGTGGTTTGAGGCCAAATTTCTTGAATTGCCTTTTTTTCAGCCATGGAATCGTCTGTCATTATAATTTTTGGATACTAAATTATGTAAGAAGAAAAAATTTTCAGTAGGTGTATATATAAAAAACAAATTATCACAACATTTTAAATATTTAATAATTATTTTATTCATTATTTTTGAAACCTACTATAAATCATAATTTAAAATTAGTAACTTACCCCATGAGTGATATCAATAAGGGCTAATTCTTTAAGTACATAAATAACTTTTTTTCTCACTAATATAGTTGTAAAGAATTAGTTAAAGTTAAACCATACAATAATACTTTGAGAAAAAAAGTTTTTTGTTATAATATTAACCTTGTACCTACCTAGTTAAAGAGTTAGTCTTTAATCTCTACCTTCTAGCTATTATGCCATAAGTGTTTTTAAATATGATGAAATCCGATTGTAGATATATTATTAAATTCATTATACATTAATACATAATATGTTTGGTTTTCAATTTATTTATTGTTGAATAATGTACTCAATTATAATTTATATTATTAATATTAATTTGTTATATAATATAATTGTATAATTGTATAATTGTTTCAACTATTTTATTTAATTATAATTTAAAAATTCAGGTTATAACAACAAATATAAGATTATTTAATTTTTTTAACATATTTTATAATTTACATAACTAGTGAAATAAATGATTAAGTGGAAAATATAAAAAATTGAGATAAGTGTATAATAACTATAACTGGTATTATTTAGTATAAATAGGTACATATTAGAATAAATATTTATAAAATGAATAATATTGTTTGGAATACATAATAAATATTTAATTACCGTTAATCCATTGAAACATAAGGGAAAATTATCCATTAGCATTTTAAATCCCTTTTCATAGGCCACAGCCGTTTGTTGCTTATGAATTAAAACCCCAATTGGCACTGCACCTCCCTTTGTAGCTGTTAAGAGAACAGTAACAGATGCCATGGACACATCACAGCTAGAAGTTGAATCCATAAATATGATTTCAGAACTATTTTTCAGTTTTTGTGCTCTTTCATTTAATGGTGTTACAACAAGGACTACCCATGGATCTGTTTTATCCATTACAACATGTATGCCTATAAAAATTATAAATATTGACTAGAAAGTATAAACTACTAAGTTTGATGAATTATTAATTCATAAAATGCCTAGTATATAATATTAACTTACCTTAAGTATTATCTTATTTTTTTATTATTTGCACAACACTAATGAATTAAATGTATTATACAGTTAACATTATATTATAAAAAAAATATGTGTCTATCAGTTTTGTAATGAAAATGTTCAATATATTTGTATATATTCAAAGAAGTTTGGTACTTTTTAAACATGTATGTAAATTAATATTTTTTTATATTAATAATAATATTATCTAAAGATTGTATTAAAAATTCAACAGATTTGAAAAAAATATTGAGTAATAATCTCTTCAGGTACAATTTATAAAATATAAAAGTATACAAATCATTTATGGACTATTTTTTCATAGAAACTGACTAAAATATAATTTAAAAAAGGACCATATAATCTAAAAATAATATTTCCATGTGTTTAAATTCCTTATTTAAATGCCACATCAAATAATATTAAACCTATTACACATTACATATTATAGTATATTATAAATATATTATAATATATAAAATAAATTTACAAAATATGTTATAAACAAATAATGTAAGACAATGTTATTATACTACCTAATTATGATACTTAGCCATTTTTATATATTCAAATAATAAATTAATTTATTAATAATCAAATAATAATACCTTGGTTTAAATAATCTGGGATTTTTTCTTCCAATCTCTCAAAAGGTTCCTTAAAACTTCCATAGTTTTCTTCCAAATATTTATGCCACAGTCTATATATAGTCCAAGGTCTTGGGTTCAATGCACCATTAGCCAATGAAACTATATAATTTGGAAGAGTACGAAGTCTAGATATATTCTGTTTCATTGCTTGACTAGGAGAAAGTCCATCAGCAAAATATTTTAGAAAAACAGATTTTACTTCTGGATCAATAAATAATCGCTTTAGAGCATCAGCACTACCACAGTTATGGCTATGAAAAGGATTAATTTTAATAACAGTGTTTAGAGGAGGGTCTCTTTTTAAGTATTCATCATTTTTCTTAGATCCTTTTGTCACAATTTTTATCAAAATATCAATAAATGCATCGCATTTTTGGTTTTTTTTACTGCTTTCCACTTTTCTATGTGGACTAAAACTGCACACCCATTTGTTATGCATTACAAACCTATAAAAGTCAATACATTGTAGGATGACTTAAAATAAAAAAATTAGGCACTAAGAATTTTTTACTTTTGGCCCTTCAAATTAGATTTTCATATCCCATTACTATTAGACAATATAAGAAAAGTAATATAGGAAAGTGATAGATTTAACTTTTGAAGCAATTTCACTACTTCAAAGATGATGACAGACAAAAAAAAAATATTTTTTTTTTTATTTTTTTTTTTTTACTTATAGTTATTAGGTACTAATACTTATAGGAAAATAAATTATCTCAGCACTCAAATTGGTTATATCCTTACCTAACTATATACTAGGTAATTAAAATTAACAACTTCAATTGAATTAAAATTGATTATACTTTTAATTTAATAAATAAAATATACTTACCGACTACTATTTCCTTTATTCAACCTATTACCTTGTATCCAATAACTATCATCAAATTTTCCAAATTTCCTAATAAAACTTTTAGCATCATCTTTATCATCCATATATGTACGTAATGTCAATACATTTTTAGAAGATAGACATTCCGAGACAACTAACATAAATGTGGAGCCTTCAAAGTACTCCAATAATGATTTTGTGTATAATGTGTCCTATTCAATACATAATATTACTTAATAATATGAACTACTATATAATAATATAATATAATATAATATTGAATGCATTTATTAAATACTAATTTATACACTTAGTAAAATATTTGAATTACCATTATTATTAGTTTAACAATTTGTAGGGTTCTTCGATATTTATTAATACTTACTACCTATAGAAAATTGGTTGTAATGTTTATAAAAAATAATAAATAGTATTAATTACAAATTAATTATAATATATAAGAAAAAAAGCGTAACGTTATTAAGTAGTAAGTAGGTACTTATTAGTTATTACTTATTATCATTAAAGGTAAAGATAAAAGACGTAATCTAAATATATCTTTAAATAATTCAAAATTATTATTATTATTGTTATTATTAGCGGCAATTCAAATATAAGTTTATTTAGTTCTTGATAATAAAATAATAATAATAATAATAATAGCGGCAAATTCAAATTGGACCAATCAGAGCAACCCGGTTCTGAGTGTACCTACATTTGCAAAATACGCTTCCGGGGCACCGATGTGGTTACAAAATTTTTTTTTGCGGTTACAAAATATTACATAATAAATAACATAATACCACACAGTTTTCAAGTCGAAATTTTAATTATTTAATGTTTGGGGTGCTGGGGTAACGTTACCCTGGCACCCGGAACTTGTATCGTCGTTTTCCGGGGCACCGATGTGGTTACAAAATTTTTTTTTGCGGTTACAAAATGTTACATAATAAATAACATAATACCACACAGTTTTCAAGTCAAAATTTTGAACTTGGGGTGCCAGGGTAACACACCTAAAAACATAGCCACTTATAACAATATTTTTTCCGTCCCAGGATTTTAGTTTCTTATAAATATCACTAAATCGTACGATACTCTTCTCACTATAAAATATTGAAACCAAAAGGTTCAAAGAGGTCAATAACATCCAAGGAATTCATGAAAACTATATACTCATAGAAGTAGATACATTGTGTATGTTCTGGAGCAGTCGGTTTTTTTACAATCAAAAAAATCACCTTAAAATTAACTTATTTCAACATTTTTACATCAAATTTTGATTTTTTTACATCGAATTTTGACTACTTTTTTGTATACAATTTGTATACAATTTTTTTTAATAATAATAATAATATTTATTTTGCAAAAAACAACAAGTGACACATTATATAAGTACGTAAAATAATTATTTGCAGCACCCCCTAAAAGCAAAGCTTGTGCTGGGGGAGCGGTTCTTATATTATATTACTTAAAATAAATACATTAATAATAAATTAGTAATAGTTGGAATTAAGAAGTAGCAAAGTATTTTCTATACAATATTTTAAACATAGTAAAATATAAGAGTATGAAGAACAAAAATAATTATAACAACATATTAATTATATAATAGACAGATCAAGATTTTTAACATACTTTTTGAATGACTTCAAATTATCAAAAAGGCTAATGTTAATATTTAAGGTTTGACATAGTTTTAGACCGTTATATAAAACACTCATTTGACCAAAAACTTTACTATAGTTAGGTAGGCATATATTAATATTATGTTTATATCTTGTATAATGATCATGATCAATAGGGATAATTAAATTTTTATTTTTATAAAGTACAATTAGTGTATTATAATTAAAAATATACCTAAAATCTTTGACTTTTAGTTCTTTATAAATTAATGTAGTACTTGTTTGAAATGATAGATTTAGAAGATATTTAATAATGCAGTTTATAGTTGTTAATAATCTAGATAGATGATTGTTGTACGTTCCTCCCCATATTGATATACCTACCATAAGTAAAAACTGATTGCACCAAGGATAAATAAATAATTCTTTTATATGAGTTGTTAAAAATATATTTGACTTCTTTAAATATGAAAAAGAACTTACGTAAAATATTGTTTAAGTAATTGATATGACTATCCCATTTAAATCTATAATCTAGAATAAGGCCAAGGTATTTTAGTTCCTTAACATTTTCAAGAATGACACATTTCGACTTACAAGTATTGCTAAAAGCTGAGACACATTTTAGTGAATGGACTATTAAATCGTTAGTATTCGAAGTATTGTACTTTTGTGGATTAAACAAAATGTATTTGGATTTCAACAAATTAAGTTTTAATTTATTTTTGCAAAACCAGGTATAAATATTATTTAGGATTATATTTGCTTCATAATACAGACTATCTGTTGTTCGTTCAGATAACAAAATAGCAGTATCATCAGCATAGCTTAGAATTTCAGTATTTAAATTAGTATTAATTTTAAGAAGATCATTTATAAAAATTATAAATAATAAGGGACCTAGGACTGTGCCTTGTGGTATACCACAAGATACTTCCAGAATATCACTATGTGTATCATTTAGTTTAACTCTTTGAGTTCTGTCTTCTAAGAAGGATTTAATTAAATTATAGGTATGGTAAGCCACGAATACCTGCGTTTTCTAATTTGAACATCAGTAGCTTATGATTCACACTATCAAAAGCTTTATGTACATCTAAAAAAATACCCATTACTTTATTATTATGATCAATATTATTCCTTACAAAGTTGTCTACCTTAAAAAGAGCATCTATAGTAGATAAATCAGGCCTGAAGCCAAATTGACATTTGGAAAAGAAACTTTTTTTATTTAAAAAATCAAGTAATCTTTTTTTTAAACATTTTTCAAAAATTTTTGATAATGTTAGAGATATGGATATCGGCCTATAATTGCCACACTCTAGTTTGTTACCTGCCTTAAATAAGGGAATTACAATACATTTTATGAAATTTGGTGGATATTTACCTGTTGATAGAGATTTGTTGAAAATAATTGACAATGGTAATGAAATGGTTTTAGATGTTTTTTTTAGTATGTAATTAGACAAATTATTTTCATAAAAAGAATTATAGTCTTTTATTTTATTTAAGAGTAACATTATTTCATCACTATTTATTGGATTAAAAAATATAGTGTCATTTATAATTTCATGGTCATCAGACACATGATTTATGAGTTCTATTTCTAAATTATTTCCTACATTAATAAAATATTCATTTAATGTATTACAAATTTCTATTTTTGATTAAGTATTACAACCATTTTTCATTGTTATTTTATTAATATCACATGTTTTATTATTAATTGATTTTCCTATAACCTCATTAATAATATTCCATACCTGTTTACCATCAGACTGAGCTCTTAATAATTTACCTTGATAAAATAATTGTTTAGCTTTTCTTATTAATACATTTAATATATTTCTATATTTATTATAGAATTGTTTTAAGTGTGTATCAAAAGGCCTCAATTTCAATTTAGAAAACAATTTTTCCCTATTTCTTATAGAAGTTATTATACCTGTTGTAATCCATTCTTTTAATTTTGACATTTTTTTAGATTTCAATTTAATTACAGAAATAGTTGAATGATGAATAAATTCATTTATTTTAGAATTAAAAACCTCGAGCATAGAATCAACATCATCAAAAGACAAAGTGGAACACCAATTTTCTAAATTAATTTATTTATTTAAAAGGCCAATATTTATTTTTTATATATATTTTACATTTTGACTATTACTTTGGACTTTAAACAATTCGCCAGATAACATCAGTGTTGTAGCATAATGATCAGTTATATCACATCGTAATATGTTTGAACTAATTTTATTTGATTCTACATTTTTAACAAATATATGATCAATGCAAGTATTGGAGGATTCAGTGACTCTAGTAGAATTATTTATACATGATATATATTCATGTTTAGCCAAAACATTTAAATAATCATTGCTTACATTGGAAATTTTCATAATATCAATATTAATATCTCCACATAAAATATTTAGGTAGTTATTTTTATTTTGAGATAAGAAAAAGTCTAGATTATTGATAAAATGTTCAAGATTATCATTGGGCGATCTATATATACAGATTAAAGAAAACAATAATTCATTAGATTTGATTTTAAGATGTATTGAATTACAATTTAATATAACATTTTTTTCAATTTGAAGAATATTTAGAGAATCTTTAATTAATATTGTGACCCCATCACTTTTATTTAACGTTCCCAGCGAGTTTATAGATTTATAACCATTTAAAGAAAATTCAACATCATTCAAAAGCCATGTTTCACATAATACAATAATACTAAAATAATTTTTTATAGAACCTAGCAACATAGCTAGTTCATTGAAATGATTATTTATACTTCTTATATTTAATTGGAAAATTGATAGATTATCATTTGATAGGGGGATATCTGCTATAGAATCTACATAATTTGAATTAATATTATTTATATTTAAGAGTTTATCAATGTTTAATATATTATCAATCATTGGAAATAGAAATTATTATTCTTATTCTTAATTATATTGTATGTAAAAATTACTAACTATAAGTTTTCGATGTCTTGAGATGATTTAATTTTCATTATTTTGGAAATCTCGTTTTTCCTTACTAGAATATCAGCATTAGACAGCCATACAAATTTGATATTTTTTTCTTTCGCAGCGCGTCTAGTTTGTGAAAAAAGTGTTCTTTTTGATTTTGTAAGACGTTCATTAATATATATTTTTTCCTTCGGCCAATTATTTTTTATAATATCCACAGTCAATTTCATAGATCTAACTTTGCGCATGTCCAGTGTTGATAATTTCGCCGTTATAATATTTTGCTTGGATACCAAAGAATTTATTCTATAGGCTTCAATTACTTTACATTCAGTATTAGTAATTTTACTAATTTCTTCCACAATATCAATACAATTTTCATTAGTTGTCTTAGGTATACCTATTATGTCCACAGATATACCTAAATTATGCTGTTCAATTTCATCAATTTTATATTTCAGTATACAAACTTCATCTGAGAGCCGTTTATTCTCAGCAATTATTTTTTCATTTACAAGTTTGATATTTTTTAGTTCACTCACAATAGTA